TCCAAAAAACCTCTACATACCTCCTGTCAAGTTCAGCACTTTTAAATTCTGTCCATTACATTTGGCCCGGCCTTTAGGTTTTAAATGCATCATGTGTCATTGTTTTTAGTGTTTTATTGTTTTTCCTTGATGTTTTATTATTTGCTTATGAGTTTTTTACTGTTATATTTGTATGTTGTTGTTTGTTGGCAGCCTTGGCCTTTGTAAGCCGCATCGAGTCCTTCGGGAGATTTTGCGGGGTATAAATAAAGTTAATAATAATAATAATAATAATAATAATAATAATAATAATAAAAAAGCTTGAAAGGCAGAACAGGAGCCCCCGATGGCGCTAAGCTGCTGAACTTGCTTACTGAAAGGTCACAGGTTTGAATCCAGGGAGCGGCGTCAGTTCCCACTATTAGCCCCAGCTTCTGCCAATCTAGCAGTTTGAAAACATGCAAATGTGAGTAGCTCAATAGGTACCGCTCAGGTGGGAAGGTAACGGCACTCCATGCAGTCATGCCAGCCAATGGAGATGAGCACCAACCCCCAGAGTCAGACACGACTGGACTTAATGTCAGGGGAAAACCTTTACCTAAGGCAGAACATTAAAGTGACTACATACACAGCCTTTATTGGCATACAACAACAACATTGGCATGCAACAAGAGTAAATCACAGATAAAAAGAAAACATACTTCAAAGTTACTAATCTCAAGGATAAAATTTGCAACACCCTTGCCATTGAGAACACTGAAAAATGGCATTCCTGTATTTCATCCATATATTTTTATAGTGGAGCGACAATATTTTGATCTGAGAGGGGAGAGCAGGTGTGCTCGGCGCGTGGCAGCGTAGTGCGGTTTCTTGAGAGCACAATTCAGTTTGCACTGGCTGTTCTCCTTGGTTGACTTTGTACCTCTAGACGGCAGGGCAAGGATCCAGCTGATAAAAACTTTCCTGCTTAGAGGGTTTCCTGTAAGTGCAGCTGCCTCTTGGCTACCTGTGGGGCACGCCCTGGCCAAGATTAGTCCTGGCTGAGTCATCCTTGGAATCATTAACTCCTTCCTTGCAGCATCGAGGAAGAAGCTTGCTCCATATTTTTGTAGTGGTGTCTTGAAGTAGCACTGTAGTGCAATGCTATTTTGACAGTATTTCCCCTTTATTATAAGCAGTAAGGCCTCTGTATCTGTCAGAATGCATTTCCAGCTGGACTGTGATTACCCAAAGCCGCATATGTGACTGAACACCATTCAATGATTTGTGTTGTGTTGGAGCACCTATAGATGCTTATGTTGGAAATAGCAACCTCCCAAGCCTTTCACTGTTTATTTGTTAATGTATGTTTGCTAACCTGTATTCTGTGTGTATGTTGATTTTCCAGTTTGACTTACCTCTTGGGTGCGGGAAGGGGTATAGACATGAGGTACTGAGCATGATCAGACGCAGGACTCCATTTTGTATTCGGTGTCTGCTGAGTACCTCATTGCAGGTGGATGCATGTTGCTGTTCGGACTTTAGTAGAGAAGTAGAGAAGACTTTATAAATGGCGACCCCCAATTTTTATTTATTATTTATTTACCATATTTGTATACTGTCCTTCTCAGACCGAAGGTGACTCAGGGCGCCATAGTATAACCATAGTATTATTTTTGTTGCTACTTCATAACTGTAATTTTGCGACTGTTATGAATCATAACAGTCGCAGTGGACCGGAGGTTTAGCACAGCTGGTAAATCATCAGCAATTATAAGATCTATCAACCAAAAGGTTGCAAGTTCAAAGCCCCGGGTTGGCATGAGCTGCCAACTGTCAGCCTAGCTCATTGTTTACCTAAGCAATTCGAAAATAGCTTTAGCTTTAGCTAAAAGCGGGGGAGGTGTTTTACGACGCCATAAAAGAAAGAAGATCAGAAAATGCTGGGCGACCAAAGAAAGGAGAAAGTCCTGATGACTCTTCGTCATAGAGGATAGAGCAACAGCACCCCCTGGACTCAAGCCCAACCTTCCATGACACCTCCTTCTCTTCTGTCTGTGTATTGTCTATACAAAGCGGGATTGAATGTTTGCCGTGTATATGTATTGTGATCCGCCCTGAGTCCCCTTCGAGGTGAGAAGGGCGGAACATAAATAAAGTGGTATTATTATTATTATGTAAATATCTGATATGCAGGATGTATTTCCATTCATTGAACCAATTTGGCACAGATACCCAATATGCCCAAATTTGAATTTGGGGTTGGGGGGGATTGATTTTGTCATTTGGGAGTTGTAGTTGCTGGGATTTATAGTTAACTTACAATCAAAGAGCATTCTGAACACCAGCTATGGAATTGAACCAAACTTGGCACACAGAACTCCCATGACTAACAGAAAATACTGGAAGGGTTTGGTAGGCATTGACCTCAAGTTTTGGAATTGTAGTTCACCTACATCCAGCAAGGACATCATTGTGGACTCAAACAATGATGGATCTGGAGCAAACTTGACACAAATACTCAATATGCCCAAATGTGAACACTGGTGGAGTTTGGGGGAAATAGACCTTGACATTTGGGAGTTGTAGTTGCTGGGATTTATAGTTCACCTACAATCAAATAGCATTCTGAACCGCACCAATGAGAGAATTGGGCCAAACTTCCCACACAGAATCTCCATGACCAACAGAAAATACTTTGTTTTCTGACGGTCTTTGGCAACCCTCTGACATCTCCTCACGAACCCCCCAGAAGTCCCAACCCCACAATGTCGTAATGTATAAGCAGTTTGAGATGAATTTCCAGGTTCATAGTGGAGAGGGAAAACCTGTTGTAACTTTTCAGGGAGATGTCTACGATGTATGTCATGGACTGAAATAGGATAGATATGAACACTGTAGGCTAGCTGTTATCAGATATACAATGAAGGCGAAGGTGCCATTCATTGTATACTCAGTATGCCCATATGTGAACACTGGTGGTGTTCTTGGAAAATAGACCTTTACCTTTGGGAGTTGTAGTTGCTGGGATTTATAGTTCACCTACAATCAAAGAGCATTCTGACCTCCACCAATGGTAGAATTGGGTCAAACTTCCCACACAGATCCCCCGTGACCAACAGACAATGCTGTGTTTTCTGATGATGATTGGCGATCCCTCTGACACCCCCGTTGCAACCCACCTGGAAGCTTTAGTGTTCTAATGCTTTCATTTTTAAAGAAGGAATTCTAAGCACCTTTTTAATGTACACCTTTTTTGGCCAAATTACAAAGAATGCACTTTTTGCCACTGCACATTTCATTCACCAGCAAATGCTTTTTGGTGTTTCAGGGCTTTGAAAATTGAGGTGCGCATGAGATTCGATGGTGCATTAGCCTTTAGTAAATACAGTACTTCTGTGGTTGAAAGGAGCTGAGTCCTGAACCACAGGAAATCATTCAGAGACCTGGTGGGCAAGGTCTTGAATGTACTTCTCTGCCAAGAATGGCCACTTGAGCTCCATCAGTACTCAATGCACCCCATGAAGAAGGAAGCAGACCATGAAAAATTACGTGAAATGGAACTTGTTGTTCTTAAGCGACCACTAGACTCTTTGAACACATTTCTGGTAACATATCATTGAACAATACCACTCTCTGCTTTTGGATAGCTCCTTATTCTAGGACAATATAATATCTGCCTTTTCAAATACAGTGAGTCTTTGCGCATATGTATATATATGACTCAGATCACAGCATGAACTAGCATCATGTTGGAGCATGCAACTTGTTTGCTCCTGCTTCACCTGGTGAGTAAGAAAAATAATAAAAGAAATAGCTTTATGAGATGTCCACACCTGAGATTATCTGTTTTATGGCTCTTGACTCAGTTGGATGCAATGAAAATACATAATGGATTTGGATGTCATGCCGACCCTTCCTTATCTGTTTACATGGAGGGAGAGGGCTGAATTTGTCGTTATGGTTCTTGGTTGCACTGTGGTTTATTGGCACATGGAAATCTATCTAGTGTGCCCCTTTAGTGGCCTTGCTTTAAGAAATAAAGCTGAAGAGGCAGGGGTTAGTTCTGTGTGTTTTTTTTTTTTTGTTTTAAATTAAGGTGTGATTTAGATATTGAGATAATTGATAATTTTTTCTTGTTGAAGTTATTGTAATTTAAATGGTTTCATCAATTTATGGCGCTATAGATATTTATAGGGTTTGTTCTATTCATCTTGATTTGTCTGTTATGCGCCCTTATTAAGTTGGACTATATGTGTCGTTTGAGTAAATGATAACACAATGAGGCATCTTAGGTGCAAAGAAAGACTGAACTGTTGAAACTTTTATCAGGTTAAGGGGGATTTATTTTGTCATTTGCGAGTTGTAGTTGCTGAAATTTATAGTTCAATCAAAGAGCATTCGGACTCCACCAATGATGGAATTGAACAGATCTTGGCACATAGATCTCCAGTGACTAACAGAAAATACTGGAAGGATTTGGTGGGCATTGACCTTGAGTTTTGGAATTGTAGTTTACCGACATCCAGAGATCACTGTGGACTCAAACAATGATGGATCTGGACCAAACTTGGCACAAATACTCAATATACCCAAGGTGGAGATTGGGGAAAGTAAACTTTGACATTTGGGAGCTGTAGTTGCTGGAATTTATAGTTCACCTATAACCAAAGAATATTGTGAACCCCACCAATGATAGAATTGGGCCAAATTTCCCACACAGAACCCCCATGACCATCAGAAATATGTGTTTTCCGATGGTCTTTGGTGACCCCTTTGAAACTCCCCTTGCGACACCCCCAAGGGTCTCGACCCCCATGTTGAGTAACACTGACTTAGTAGTACCCATTATCCACGGGCTGAATAGCTACAGTTTTCACTTGCCCACAGTCTAACAAATATTCCCTTCCCATCTCAAAACAGTTTGTGGATTTCTGTAGTCCTCCAGTGCTATTCTATGGGATACTTCTATACTCGAATTATAGCGTTACTTTGGATCATATAGTATTGCTGATGGGATGTTGGCCCTTTGTATTTTCCAGAATGGCCAAGCTGCTCCAGAAGAACGAAAAGATGTACTGTCAAAGGTAAGACCCTAGAGGAAAGCCTTCTTCTGGACTGGAGTGTTTGCATTGCCTATGCTGGGATTAATCGTTTTAAAAATATGTATGTATGAATGTGTTTTGGACTAGAGTTCCCATCATCCCTAGGAAACCTAGCTTGGGGATTCTGGGAGTTGAAGTCATAAACATCTAAAGGAGCAGAGTTTGAAATGCACCAATCAACAGCACAACAGTGAGGAGCAGGATTTGGGGAACATCAAGGTTTAGAGGCACATTGGGAAAAATCACAAGGAAGCATCCCTCTGCCCACCCAGGAAACAATCCTCAGTGGGTGGGTTTGTTATGTGTGAGTGTGGTAGAAGTGGAGTGAAGTGTCTCGTAGGAGAGGACTGCAGGTGGTCATTGTAAACCAAAGCATTTACACTGCAGTGTTTTGTTGTGCGCCCATTGATGTGTACTAAGAACATTTGTTCCTGTTTTCATACCACTTGTATATGACTTGATAATTTAATAATGACAAGAGACATGGGTTCTTCTGAGGATAATCATGTTGGATTGACGTAAAATACATCTAAACGTGTTCTGAAACACAATACTCTGGGAAAACTTCAAATATTGAAAGATGATGGACTACAATTAACCCTTAATGCCTGATGATACATTATATCTTACTATATTACAGAATATTATAGAAACATAATACTCTGTGAAAACTTTAATGAAAGATGATAGACTACAATTAACCCTTAATGTCTGATCATACATTATATCTTATTATATTACAGAATATTATAGAATATTATATTATATATTATATATATTATGTTGTTGTTCATTCGTTCAGTCGTCTCCGACTCTTCGTGACTTCATGGACCAGTCCACGCCAGAGCTCCCTGTCGGTCGTCACCACCCCCAGCTCCTTCATATATATATTATGTTATATTATATTATATTATATTATATTATATTATATTAATATATATATTATTTTGTATTATTACTTCAAATACCAAATGGATCTTGCATACCTTGGTGGACTTATCTCTGCAGTTAGGGCCTTCCGGATAGGCTGGACTGCAGTTTCCAGCATCCCCAGCCATGGTGCTGCAGTGACTATGTTGACTGGACATGATGGGAATTGTGGTCCAGTACATCTAACGGGCTCCAGATGGGGAAGGCGGCTGTGATTTTTTTACAAACCAGAGGTCTTTCTGTGCTGCAGTCTAAGTGCAACCTGATGCAAGCTAAGCACTGGTCTTTTTTCTTGGCTCACGCTGCTTCCCTGATTCAGGCGTTCAGATTACTTTCCGTCTTCTGGAAAGAAAGGGGGTGGCAGAAGGGGAGAGCAGAGACGGTGAGTTTACATTGTCTGGTGCACTGAGTTTGCTGAAAATTTGAGTAGTGAAATCATTCTTACTTCTGTGTGATGCAGTAGATAAAATACTTTGCTTTCTACCCAGCAGCTGTGATGAATATTGTTTCTGCTGTTCCTCAGTATTAGCAACAGCAGCCCAACTTCTGTGTACCAGTATACCATCATTTTTAAGTACTCTGGGTTGGTTTAATTGGTTTACAAGTTAGATTTACATTTCTGAGTCTCTAAAGCAGGCTTCGGCAAACTTGGGCCCTCCGGGTGTTTTGGACTCCAACTCCCACCATTCCTAACAGCCTACCGGCTGTTAGGAATGGTGGGAGTTGGAGTCCAAAACACCCGGAGGGCCCAAGTTTGCCCAGACCTGCTCTAAAGTATCCAGTTCTTCTTCTTTCTTCCAAAAAGAAGCATTATAGAGTGTCCCTTCCCTCCCCCGCCTTTAAAAAAGAAAGTATTATAGATAATGCAGAACCAAAATAAAAAACCAAGTTAATCCTGCTGTGTGTTTTAGAAGCATCCTTTCACTGCTTCCTCCAATGCTTGGCAATCTGTTAACAAGATAAGGCAGCTAAACGAAGACTTTGGATCTGGGTGTGGAATACCTGAATTGAACTCTACGCCATGGGGATGGAGCTTAGGGTTATAAAGTGATGGCAGGACACTTGCTCTACATGTAGGTTTCCCCTGTTTCAGTCTCCAGCGTTTCAGCTTAATGGAAGAGATAGGCGGTGGTCTTATTAACCAAAGACCCTCCTCATAAATGCTCAGCAGCAACACCGTGACCCAGCACCAGTAGCCCAAAGTGATAAAAAGAACAAAAACACACAGAGCAATGGTATCTCTTCCATAGGAAGCTTTCCTTTATAGAAAAATACTATGGTTGCACTATTTACAAGATGCTCCATGCAGTCGTGCTGGCCACATGACCTTGGAGGTGTCTATGGACAATGCCGGCTCTTCAACTTAGAAATGGAGATGAGCACCAATCCCCAGAGTCGGACACGACTGGACTTAATGTCAAGAGAAAACTTTTACCCCTAACTATTTACAAGAACAAGGTTTCCACAACACAAAATTCTTTACACTTCCTTCTTTGCTTCCACGCTGGGCTCCTTTCTCATGCAGATAAACAGCTTCATTCTCACAGAGCCTCTTCTCACACCAAAGTTACACAGGAGCTTCTCACATTACCTTTGTCCTCACCAATGCTTCTCACACCAGGCCTACTCCTAATAATAATAGTAATAATAATAATAATAAAAATAATAATAATAATAATATAAAACGTTATTTGTACCCCGCTACCATCTCCCCAAGGGACTCGGTGCGGCTTACATGAGGCCGAGCCCACAATACAACAATAAAAAACAATAGCAACAATAATACAAACAATAAATAAAACTCATAAACAGAAAATAAGCAGTAAACATTAACAATAACACAGCGACCCTCATACACTGAGGCCCACTAACTCTGAAGCCTACTAACACAGAGGTGTTCTCACACTGAGGCCTACTAACACACTGAGGCCCTTTTCCCACAGAGACATTTCACAGACTGAGGGCTACAAAGCTACATGCACTCCTGCTTATATTGAACTGTAGCTTTTGCTGCATCATTGTATCAATTTAACCCTTTCAGTGGTTGACTCACATTTTTGTAATTAAAAATACATAGTTAATTTTTAATATTTCTGAAATGGGATCCCATTCGACTACAGAAATCTAGTAGATAATGTCTCTCAGCTTTGGAGTAGATACAAGGTGGTGGAAGTTGAAGTCCAAAACACCTGGAGGGCCTTCCAGGTATTTTGGACTACAACTCCCAGAAATCCTGATCATTAGACAAGCTGGCTAAGGCTTCTGGGCGTTGGAGGCTCAACCATCTGGAGGGCCACAGGTTGAAAAGGCCTGCCTTCGAAAATTGTTGCCAAGGGTCTGATGTGGCACAAGGCAACATCCCAGGTTGGGCATATCCATTCATATTGCTTTTCGTTTGGAAAAAAAATGTGCATCTCTCAAACTGCCACTAAAGCAGAATTCCCGCAGACAAAAGGGCAGGAGCTTCCCAAATGCACTGTCCCTTATCATATAAGTGCTTGAAACAGAAAGATTTTTATAAATTCATTCCGAAAGCTCCCTTGAAAACAGCTGACTACCTGTTGTGGCATTTGAATGTATTTATTTATTTATTGTGTCAGAAGTGAACCAAGGGTACAGTTGTAATGTATTTAAAAACAAAAAGTTTAAAAACTTTGGCATATGAAATGTCCTTTGACCAGAAGCTGGCCACTTGGAGTGTCTCTGGTGTCGCTGTAACAATGTCCTCCATTGTGCATGTATCAGGGCTCAGGTTGCATTGTAATAGGGGGTCTGTGGTTTGCTCTTCTCCACACTCATGTCGTGCACTCCATTTTGTGACCCCATTTCTTAAAGTTGGCTCTGCATCTCGTGGTGCCAGAACAAGTCTGTTCAGTGCCTTCCAAGTCTTCTGTGTGCCCAGGAGGGAGTCTCTCATTCGATATCAGCCACTGATTGCAGTATTGGGATTTAGCCTGCCACTTTTGGACTCTTGCTTGCTGAGGTGTTCCTGCAAGTATCTCTGTAGATACTATTTCTTGATTTAAGGCGTTGGCGTGCTGGCTGATATCCAAACAGAGGATGGGCTGGAGATGTCACTGCCTTGATCCTTTTTTATTATTGGCTGCTACTTCCTGGCAGATGTCAGGTGGTGCAATGCTGGCTAAACAGTGTAATTTCTCCAGTAGTGTGGAGAAATGCGGCATGTGATAATGCGGCATGTCTCTTTAAGAGCCTCATCCACTATTTTAACATGGTGAGATGTGTTCCACACTGGCATGCGTATCCATCACCAGAGTAGCAAAGCACAAGGGCAAATATCTTCACTGTCTCTGGTTGTGATCCCCAGGTTGTGCCAGTCAGCTTTTGTATGATATTATTTCTAGCAGTTGCCTTTTGCTTGATATTCAAGCACTGCTTCTTATAAGTCAGAGTGACTCCCAGATATGTTGGTGTGCAGCAGTGCTTCAGTGGGATTCCTTCCCAGGTGATCCTCAGAGTTTGAGATGCTTGTCTGCTTCTTAATGTCTGTGTTTTAGATGGATTAGAAATCAGCTGGTTTTCCCTGCACCTAAAGTTTCGGAGAGCTTCTGTTTAACCATTTCAAAGTTCCCTGCTTGGGTAGTGATAACATAATCATCAGCATAGATGAAACTCTCTGTCCCTTCTGGCAGTGGCTGATCATTTGTGTAAATGTTAAACATTGATGGAGCCAGCATGCTTCCTTGAGGCAGACTGTTCTTCTGTTTTTGCGTTTAAATTGGTAATAATGTGCTGTACTGTTCTGATTAGAAACTGCTCTCACAAGTCTCTACATTCTAAACCATGCTATCTGAGTTCCTTTTCAACTAGAGATATTAAGACTGGATACTGGACTTTTCTTCATGTAAAGCATATATAACTGAATTGCAGTTGGCTCTGGGTCATGTGATTTGATTCAAACAACTGGCTAAAATTAAGGAGACCTCAACGCAAGGCAGTCTCAGAAACACTGGGGTCAAGAATGATGCTTGGGTCACTTCTACACTGCCAAATAAAATCCAGATTATCTACTTTGACCCTAATCATATGGTGATGTGGACTCATATAATAAAAGCAGATAATGTGGATTATCTGCTTTGATAATCTGGGTCATATGACAGTATAAAATTGGCCTTGGATAAATCTCTATCATCTATACAGCTGGCCATCCATATCCATAGATTTACATCCACTGATTCAATGAACTGTAGCTCAAATTATTATTATTATTATTAGTAGTAGTAGTAGTAGTAGTGGAAATAGTAATAGTAATAGTAATAGCAGTAGTAGGTAAAGGTTTCCCCTTGATATTAAGTCTAGTAGTGTCCAACTCTAGGGAGTGGTGCTCATCTCCATTTCTAAGCTGAAGAGCAGGCGTTGTCTGTAGATACCTCCAAGGTCATGTTACCTTCCCGCCGAAGTGGTACCTATTGATCTATTCAGATTTTCATGCCATAGAATCATGGAGTTGGAAGAGCCCTCATGGGCCATCTAGTCCAATCCCCTGCCAAGAAGCAGGAAAATTGCATTCAAAGCACCCCCAACAGATGGCCATCCAGCCTCTGTTTAAAAGCCTCCAAAGAAGGAGCCTCCACCACACTCCGGGTCAGAGAATTCCACTGCTGAACGGCTCTCACAGTAAAGAAGTTCTTTGTAATGTTCAGGTGGAATCTCCTTTCTTGTAGTTTGAAGCCATTGTTCCGCATCCTAGTCTCCAGGGAAGCAGAAAACAAGCTTGTTCCCTCCTCCCTGTGGCTTCCTCTCACATATTTATACATGGCTATCATATCTCCTCTCATCCTTCTCTTCTTCAGGCTAAACATACCCAGCTCCTTAAGCCGCTCCTCATAGGGCTTGTTCTCCGGACCCTTGATCATTTCAGTTGCCCTCCTCTGGACACATTCCAGCTTGTCAATATCTCTCTTCAATTGTGGTGCCCAGAATTGGACACAATATTTCAGGTGTGGTCTAACCAAGGCAGAATAGAGGGGTAACATGAGTTCCCTGGGTGTTTTCAAACAGTTGGGTTGGCAGAAGCTGGGGCTCACCCCGCTCCCCAGATTCAAACCACGGACCTTTTGGTCAACAAGTTCAGCAGCTCAGTGGTTTAACTTGCTGCATCACCAGGGGCTCCAGTAGCAGTAGCAGTACTAGTAGTACTAGTAGTAGTGATAATAGTAGTAGTAGCTGTATTTATCAGACTTTGAGTCTCTCTCCCAAATGAGACTCAAAATACCTAACACTAAAGATCATATAATACGTAAATTTAAAACCCCAAAAATGCAAACATTAGAATTAAACATAAGACTCATTGGTAATTTCAATTACAAAACAGCAGAGTAGGTCTACACTGATGTGCAGGCATACCCTGCTGTATCCTTT